CACAACACCCACCATGAAGTCAGCCCCACATACACTTAGAAACAGAACTTACAACTCAGAAAATGGAGCACTTACACCCTCACAAGGTTGCTCTCAAGTGTATAGCAAGCTAAAGATGAAGAAAATGCTAGGAAGGGTGAAGACTTGGGACATTTACAAGCAAGGGAGGCTAAGGAATGGAGAGGCAGCAGCTGGCCCTTCAGAAAACATACGTAGGAGGCACCAAAATAAACCTAGGATCATGTGCCACTCTCTATATAGCCTCATTAAGTTTTAATCGCATTGTATTAGCGCTAATAGCTACGCTTATAATTTTAATCCCAAACTCGGATTTCTGAACCTACTCAATTTTAGAAGAATTATCATATTTTTATTATATTTTTCTGAGCACCTTTCTGGTACGCACTTTTCATAGCCAATATCAGTTCTGGCACCAGTTCTTATTATTTTGACTTGAAACTCGTTTTACAAGTCCTACATATCATTCTAGTAATTATCATGCACTTATTATAATTTTTCGGGATACTTTTTCGGTACGCATTTATACCGACTAACAGAACCGGTATCTGCACTTTTCTTCCGAAAAGCGACTTTCAGCATTCTTAATCACTTACTATAATTATTAGAGCCTCATAATAATTATTAGGTTCTATTATGAAATCATTTCCTAATTTTGCATAATTAATTAATTAAATACCTAATTTAACGGTGCGAGTTCTTACACACAACATTTAACAGATTTAACTTTTCAACTACAGGTACCGTTTGAGCCAGTAGAAACATAGAACTTGCTTCTATGCTAGCTTTTTTATTGCTGAGAAGCAAGCAACTACCTATCTCACTCATTTTTTAGGCTTAAAAACCTTGATATTTCTATTGAAGAAGATTCAATTCTTGTTGAGATGAAAAAATCTGTTTAAGGAGCCTCTCTCTTTCTTCATTAAGGTTTTTGACTACATTGGCTAAGATTTCACAATGATCACCGAAAAGGAGTTTTTACTGACTACTTGAGGCTTTATTATATGGTAAAGGTTCTAAAAAAAATCTGAGATGGAACCCACTTATTTTCTTTCTCTCTCTTCTTCTTAGTGGGACCCACTTTTTTTTTGTGTTGCATGAGATAATTTGTCTCATGTAACATGAAAAACAATATCCCCTTAAAAATATTAATAACTTTCAAATTAAATTTATAAAATAATCAATTAATAACAATTCATTTTATATTCTTTAACCAAAATATAATAAAAATATTAAAAAAAAACTTATATGTGGGAATTGCTACGGACAACTCATCATTAATGGGTTTTTTTTTTTAAATGAGTTGCATGATAATGTGAGCAACTGAGCATTCCTAAATACAAAAATAGTGCTACCATCTTAGGTTAAAAATATGAACAAAAATATATTGAGGACGCCCATAAGAATAAAAACACGGAGGGGGAAAAAAGTTTGGGGGCAAAGAGTAAAGTGAAAGATTATTGACATGAACTCAGTTAAAAAAACTTCAAATAAAAAAAACATTATGCACTAGTTTAGAGATTGCGCGTAGCCACATATAATTGCCCAGTACTTTAGCATTGCGTGCTTGTCATTTGTCTAAAGTGTCACAACACAAAATGAAGAAAATTAATTATGGTTGGATCCATTCTCAAGCCTTAGACTGGCGTGACATTTTCCTCTCCACCATTTGGTTTCTGTGGACTTGGAGGAACAAGGAGCTGCATGATCCTTCCTTTACCCGTCTCATCAGCCCTATCATAACTATCTCCTCTTATATCAGTGATATCCTCATATCCACCAGGCAATCTCAAGACTTAGTCATTCTTCCCTTCAGGACCCTCGACTCTGTCTCCCTTCCTGTGAAGTGGACAACTCCACCGGAAGGCAAGTGAAAACTTAATGTAGATGCTGCAGTTAAGAGGTCCACTAACGTTGCTTATTGTGGGGGCCTAATCAGAGATGACAAAGGGAATTGGGTAGCTGGTTTCACCTACAATATTGGTATTTGCTCTCCTTTAATGGCTGAATTATGGGCCATATTTAAAGGCCTTCACTTAGCTTGGAGCCTTCATGGGCAAGACTTAATATTGGAGAGTGACTCCCTTCTTGCCATCCAAGTCTTTTCTAATGATGTCACGAATGCTGAAAATAATGCGCTTGTGCAAAGTATCCACCAGTTGAGGGATAAGGATTGGCATGTCATCTTCCAACATGTTTGTAGAGATGGTAACATCTGTGCTGACTGGATTGCAGATCTGGCCTCCCATGCTCATGATGATTTTCTGTTTCTTGCCTCTTGTCCCTTTGGACTAAGGCATATTTTAGCCTCTGAGGCTCCTCCAAGTTATTAGTTTTTGCTTCTTTTTTCTTTGGGCTTTTTGGCCCCTCCTATGTACTAAAAAGAATAAAAAAAGCCAACCAAGGAAAATGTTATGTTTGGCCATTTTCGTTTCTATTTCTCTAGTGTTGTGCTTCCAGCCAACTCTTCCTGACTGGAAGTAACTTGTTGGCTATGAGAAACCAATAACATCATTTATATGTACAGCTATCGTCTGTCGTTCACAATACATGCAAAAAGAAAGTGAGAAACCGATAACGCAGGCAATGATGACGCATCTTAATCGACAGCAATATTACAAGTACATATTTTCTTTATGGTAGTTTGTAAACTACTTTTGCATGCATGGATTATAACTACAGAGTATGTGTATTTTGAGGGTGGTATAAGAACTTCAACTTTTTTACAAACCACTTTTGCGCTTTGAGGAATCAATGTTATAAATTTGATATAAATCTCTATTAAAGAATAGTATTATTTGATGCAAAAATTTATATACAAAATTGATAGAAATGCTTAATAATTAATTATGATAAGAGAAATAAACAAATAAATAAATAAATAACTGATAAAATGTTATTTTTAATGGGTTAAGTATTTATTAGTTTAAAGGACACAAACTTATGTTATTTTAAGTGAAACTATTGTGCTTTTGTGACTTTTCACCTTCTCTCTCATCCACAAAATTAGGAGGAGAGATAAAGTGAGATTAGAGAGAAGATAAAAAGCCACTAAAACTTAATAATTTTATTTGAAATGACACAAGTTTATCCTTTAAAATGATAAATATTTTCCCTTTTTTAATTCATAAATTATTTCATAAAAAATTATTTGTACAATGTAGCAATTTTATATCCTAAGGGCATGTTCGGTACATAGTATAGGATAAGGCCTGATAGTATAAGACATGATTGTATAAGACCTGATTAAATTTTAATATTATCTAGCGTTTGACATGATATTGTATAAGACAATATCATCCAATGTTTAGTAATACACTGTATAATACTAGATAGGTTAAAAATAAATATTTTTGTCAAAAATACCTTTTAATAATGAATTTACATAATTCTTCCAAATATATCAGATGATATTATTTTTTATAGAAATATGTTGATCAGTGTGTCCAAAAAATATATTAATTTTTATAAAAATAAAAATCTCCAATATTTTAAAAATTATACATTGAAAATTATTTTTTATTTTAATATACTAATATTAAAATAATATATTAATTCTTGAGAATTGCAATGATTAATACATCAACCCCTTATCAGGCCTAATCCTACCCTCCTAGGCCTGATTAGAGGTGTTCGCGATCTGGATTGGATCAGTTTTGAAAGCAAAAATCATCCAATCCAATCACTTCGGTTTGATTATGTAATTATTCATTCGGTTTGAATTTTTTTCCAAATCCGATCCGATCCGATCCAATCCAATTTTTTTCGGTTTGGATTGGATCGGTTTTTTAAATCCTAAAATTTGTTTCATAATTATTGTGCAAATAACATCTTTTGTATATATTGGCTTTGTAATTTTTTTTTTTTTGGAAATACAAAAACATCAATAAACGATAATATAGTTTTTTTTTGCAATGAAATATAAAGCTCTACACAAATGAAATTTTGTTGATGAGATATGACTAGATTTTTTCTTGGGTTTAGTTGATGGGTTAATGGGTCTTGGGTTTAAAAAATTTTGGGCTATGATTGAGGAAAGGTCCAAGTACGTAGAGGGAAATTAATATATTGGATCGATTTGGATTAGATCGGTTTTCATCAACCAAACCGAAAACCAATCCAATTCAATTAAAATTTGCGGGTTTTTTTTTCGGTTTTTTGGTTTTCGGTTTATTCGGTTATCGGTTTTTCGATTCGGTTACCGCGGTTTGAATCGGTTTGGATCGGTTGATGAACACCCTCAGGCCTGATTACGTTATACATCATATTGATGTATAAAAAAATTCTGCTGTACAAGCTTATACTATACGATAGTCACACTAAACAACTAAAAATATCGTAACGTATAGTATAAGCTTATATTGTCATACCTTATACATTACACCAAATATAGGCCCTAATTAGCAATAACCTATATATGCTAAGTTTATGTGGTTATTCCTGTCAGAATTCAATATAGAAGAGAATAATTTTTTCTTCATTGATTTCTTCCTCATGAATGAGGGAACTTATATACAAAGATGACCAACAAACTTCCTAACAAATTTACAGAATATTCTACCGTAAGATATGGACCAGCCAAACAGTATTATATACATAACAAACAAAATAAACATTTAAACTTGAACTAATTCTGTTTTATCAGCACTAACAGTAATTCAAACATCAGAAGCTTCCTTTCAACACTCCCCCTCAAGTTGGTGCATGAATATCAACCATGCCCAACTTGCTAATTATCTCCTCAAAGACTTTTCCGGAAACAGCTTTGGTTAACACATCCGCGAGCTGATCTTTGGATTTAACAAAAGGCAGTTGTATTATCTGTTGATCCAACTTCTCTTTAATAAAATGTCTATCTACTTCCACATGTTTGGTCCTATCATGTTGCACAGGATTATGAGCTATTTCAATAGCTGCCTTGTTATCACAAAAAAGTTTCATTGGCTCATCGCAGTGAATTCCAATATCTTGAAGGACATTTCTTATCCATAGTAGTTCACAAATTCCATGAGACATTCCTCTGAACTCTGCCTCAGCACTAGACCTTGCCATACATTTTGTTTTTTACTTCTCCAAGTAACTAGGTTGTCTCCCACAAAAGTAAAGTATCCAGAGGTTGACTGCCTTGTAGTTTTGTCTCTGGCCCAATCAGAAGCGGTGTATCCCTTGATTGATAAGTTTTGGTTTCTTGTAAATAGTAGTCCTTTCCCAGGAGCTCCCTTCAGATATCTAAGTATCCTATACACTGCATTCATATGCTCATCACTTGGAGAATGCATAAATCTATTCACAACACTCACTGCATATGAGATGTCAGGTCTAGTGTGTGCTAGATAAATTAATTTTCCAACAAGTCTTTGATACTTCCCAATATCAGCCTGTAATTGGTTAGGATAAACTGCAAGGGTATGATTCATTTCTATTGGAGTATCTACTGGTTTACAGGCTAGCATTCCAGTTTCATTCAACAAATCAAGTACATATTTTTTCTGAGATAAGCATATACCTTGATCAGATCTAGCTACTTCAATTCCTAGAAAATACTTAAGTTGACCCAAATTCTTCATTTCAAATTCAGTTGATAACTGAGCTTCTAATGCTTGCATTTCATCTGTGTCATCACCAGTCAATATCATATCATCAACATACACTATAAGCACTGTTACCTTGCTGTTTTTCTGCTTGACAAACAGAGTGTGATCAAAGTTACTCTGTTTGTATCCAAACTTCTTCATAGCAACAGAGAATCGACCAAACCAGACCCTTGGGGACTGTTTTAGTCCATACAAGGCTTTCTTCAACTTACATACTGCATTTTTTCTGAGGAACCGAGATCCACACCTGTGGGAATGTCCATATAAACTTCTTCTTCCAAATCTCCGTTTAGGAAGGCATTCTTCACGTCAAATTGCTTCAATGGCCAACTCTTTTGGGCTGCTATGGATATCAAGATTCGGATAGTATTCAGTTTGGCTACGGGTGCAAATGTTTCTTGATAATCAATCCCAAACTTCTGTGTGTACCCCTTTGCTACCAACCTTGCTTTGTACTGATCCAAGCTCCCATCCGGTTTGAGTTTTAGAGTGAATACCCATTTGCATCCTACACTTCGTTTTCCACTGCATCCTGCACATTTGTAGGAATACCAATACTGGATAATTGATTAGTGGCTACTTCATATGATTCAGATAACCTTTTTGTTGACACATAATTTCCAATTGGGTACTTAACAGAGGTATATAGGTTAGGTTCATATAATTTTTTTGGAATTCCCTTTGTAACTCTTTCTGATCTTCTTACCATAGGGATATGTTGAGTGGGAATAGAGGAGTCAATTATAGAGGAGTTAGGATCAGATAGTACCTCATTTTCCATGCGGTTTGTAGAGTTCAGGACATCCCGAGAAGATGGCTCAGTTGTGGGAGTTAAAATTGGATGATCTTGTATGTCATTTTGAGAATCATTTTCTGTTTCTTGGAGAGAGAGCCCGAGAGCAGAGGTATGAGTCTGATGATCATTTGCTGTTTCCTGGAGAGGGGACCCGAGGGCAGAGGCATGGTTTTGTAGCTTTGTTGAAATTTCAAAAGAAGCTTCTCCTCCATAATCAATCTCCCTCAGAGGAGAAGTTGCTAAAGCTCCCCCTGAGTATAATGGTTCTGATTCCCGGAAAGAGACATCTAAAGTAACATGCATTTTTTTAAGGTAAGGATCATAGCATCTATAGCCTTTTTGAACTTCGGAATAACCTACAAAGATACATTTTTTTGCACATGGATCTAGTTTATTTAGAAGGGCCTTAGGAACATGAACATAGGCTACACAACCAAAGACACGAGGTTCAAGGTTTGGGCAGTGGGAAATTGAAAAATATGAGTGGAGTTTTTGTTGTGGAGTGAGGAAATTGAGGGCACGAGAGAGGGTACGGTTAATTAAGTAAGTGGCAGAGACTACTGCTTCACCCCAATAATGTTTAGGGACATCCATCACAAATAAAGAAGCCCGAACAACCTCTAGGAGATGTCTATTTTTGCGCTCAGCAAGGCCATTTTGTTGGGGTGTGTATGGGCAGGACGTTTGGTGTTTGATGCCATGATTTGTGAGGTATTCAGTGAAATAAGAGTTGAGGTATTCAGTTTTGTTATCTGTTTGAAGAGTTCGGATAGAGGTCTGAAATTGGGTATGAACCATATTACAAAAATTTTTGAACGCAGAAAAAGAACCATTTTTATGAGATAAAAGAGCAATCCATGTCATACATGTGCATTCATCAATAAATGTAATATAATAGAATTTTTTTGAGAGATAAGGGATTTTTGCAGGTCCCAAACATATGAGTGAACCACTTCAAAAGGAATGGAATTTTTATTTAGGCTTGGAAAATATGGAACTTTATGGCTCTTAGCCAATTCACATGTATTACATTGAAATTGAGACACTTTATTTAAAGAAAACAAATGGGGAAATAACTTAAACAGGTAACTAAATGAAGGGTGTCCTAGTCTACAGTGCCACAGCCAGATTTGAGAAGAGGCCTTGGAGTCAGGAAGAGTTAAACAGGTCCGAGAAGTAGGAAAAAAAATGTTGCAGTCGAGTTCCAAATAGTACAGATCACCTATTTTAATTCCATAACCAAGCGTCTTCTGCTGGAGGAGGTCCTGAAAAATACCGTATGATGGAAAAAATGTAACACAGCAGGTGGTATCAGAAGTTAAACGACTCACAGACAGAAGATTATATTCCAGAGAAGGGACACATAAGACAAAGGATAAAGTCAATTCAGGGGTTAAGGAAATAGAACCTTGACCAGAAATAATAGAAGTACCTCCATTGGCAGTAGATATAAATGGTTTTGAGCATGATTAGAAATTAGATAACAAAGAGGGGTCTCGTACCATATGGTCAGAGGCACCAGTATCAATAATTCATATAGTATTCATAGAATGTGCAGTAAGGGCGAGATGCTTACCTAAGATGCTGCTGTGGACCACGTTTGCCTGAGGTGTTGGAGAGTCAGCATAAGTGAGAGTGATATTAGCTTTGGGTGCAATTTTCCTCCGGGGACGTTTAGCAAAGTCCCACTAATCTGGATACCCGATTATCTCATAACAGCGTTGCTTGGAGTGGCCAGAATCCTCACAATGAGAACACACAAAAGTAGAGGGTTTGGGTGGGGGAGCATTATCCCGACGGGGCCTAGGCTGAGTAGAGGAACCATGGCCGAGTGGATGAGCGAGAAAAACTGATGCATCAGAAGAAGTCTTGTGCGAATTCATAGTATGTCGTTGCTGATAATCACGCCTGACAAAAGCATACGAGGTCTCGAGGTTAGGTTTCGGGTCCTTTCGAGGAATCTCACTGCGTACCTGGTCGAACTCGTTGTCAAACCCAGCAAGGAAAATATGAACCCTCAACCGTGAGAGAGCCGAGTGGTGGTGGATGACTTCAGTCACCGAATCAGAGGAGGAGGTCCGGTGATCGATTTCTTGAAAAATCGCTTGGAGTTCGTTGTAGTAGACCGCAAGAGGACGGCCAAACTGCTTTGTGTTGAACGAACATTGGTTCAGGTCGAAGAGGCAGGATTCATCTGAACCGTCATAGAAGGTTTTTGAAGCTGCATCCCAAATTTCGCAGGCGGTCTCCAAGCGGATGAATCTTTGCATGAGGCTAGGAGACATGGAGTCAATCAACCAGCTTTTGACCCGTTTGTTGTCGGTGATCCAAGAATCAAGAATGGGATCACCAGGTTTCGGTTTAGGAGTGGCACCGGTGAGGAAACCGGACTTGCTACGAGCTCCAATTCGCATATCCATGAGTTCGCATATACCATGTCAGAATTCAATACAGAAGAGAATAATTTTTTCTTCATTGATTTCTTCCTCATTAATGAGGGAATTTATATACAAAGATGACCAACAAACTTCCTAACAAATTTACAGAATATTCTACCGTAAGATATGGACCAGCCAAACAGTATTATATACATAACAAATAAAATAAACATTTAAACTTGAACTAATTCTGTTTTATCAGCACTAACATTAATTCAAACATCATAAGCTTCCTTTCAACAATTCCTCTTATAAACAAATAACATGACATTTACTTGCAACATTTTCTCATTTTACTTTCTATCCTCTTTCATGGGATAAACTGTAAAAGGTGAAATGCTACATATTAATTAATTAATTAATTCAACCAAGATCTCAATTGGACTAATATAATTCAAAATAAATTCAATTATGCATGCAGATATACAATTAGTGTCTCTAAAAAAACAATGAGAAAACGGGAGTCAGTCACATACAAGATGTACATTAATTCAGCCTGCCTTTATTGATTTTGTTTTTGTCCCTGTATTTAAGGTACACATGTACTCCCTGCTTAAAAAGTAAAAAACAATTACATCTCATATTACCCGTATGGCTTAAAATCCTAAAATATATAACTATATTTATTAACTCTTCTTGAAAAAATAAAAAAAGAACTGCAACACGCATGGTTGACCTTCATTACATCAACATCGTTTGAAGATATTTCTTTGAATGTATTGGGAGGGATGTGGACACAACTCAATGGCCACTCTCGTGAATCTTGATGCTTATATTATAGGAACACCGATCAAAATATTATTTTTTATTAAAAAAATTATCTAAATGTCACGCGAACAATGTTATTTTTCAATCTATCATGAAGGCAAGTTTACTATCCAGTGTAACGAACTCGGTTTGCTGACATGTCACATTTCTAGTGGATAACAAGTACCAAGTTAAAAAAAATAAAAAATTGTAGTTCGCTACATTGGGTAGCGAACTTGGTTAAAATCAAGTTCGCTACCCCGTGTAGCGAACTTGATTTCCACTAGAAACGTAACACGTCAGCAAATTGAGTTCGCTACACCGGGTAGCGAACTTGCCCCGTGACAGATTAGAAAATAATACTGTTCGCGTGATATTTAGATAAAAAACTTGGTAAACAATGACATTTTGGTCATTGTTCCTATATTATACACATTTTACAGGTAACATTGTCTTTAAAAACTAATCTCATTAGTCGTTATAGTCCCAATTGGTTGCTCTTAACTCATGATATAACTCTCTATTTTTATTTTTTTTTGTAACGCATTTAATTCTTTTTTTTTAATCGGGAAATATCAATTAGAATATGACCTCATACCTAATCTTTATTTGGTCGTATACTATTCGCGTCAATAAGATTATTAAGATGCAAAATTAATTTAAAAAATATATGAATTTAATTTTAACATGCTTTGATTTAAATTTTATCAAATATGAATGTAAAAATTTAACTGAAAATTTACTAGATGATTATTATTATATAACATAGTCGAATTACACAGAAAATAGATTGAACAGATGGAGTCAGATTAATAAGAAGAATCCCAATTCTCAAAAAGTGATAACCATATTATGATATTAATTAAGAAATTCAACAACTTTATAATAGGGGTCTTTAATGCCGCCAATGCAAAACAATTAAAATTAAATGCACTTAAAAAGAGAAAAAAAGGTCTAAATATAATCGATTATAGTTCAATCCATATTAAATAATCTAAAATAAGTAAACAAATAAAATTAAATTAGCCCTAATAAGTAAAGAAAATTTTTACAAATGAAAACTTGATAACCATTTAAGCTCAAAACACATATTATATATTAGCAGGAGATAATATTGTCTCCTAAAACTCCAAAACAATGTCATCATGGGGTTTGAGAAA